GCGTGGAGATGGATATAACCACTGGAGAAATTTTTGTGGCATTGAACTCCTACTCATTTTACGTGGATGGAAGACCTTTATTTAATTGCCACATACCCTCCAATTCACATTTATGGTTGGAGATGCTCTTAGTGTTTTGCTTCTTTTTTCCTTTAACGTTTTTCTGTTTTCGTGTTTTGTATTTTATATTTTTTGTGTGCGAATTTTTTATTTTATTTTTTTTGTTTTTTTTTTCTAATTGTGTGTGTGTTTAGTGGGTTTGTAAGTGTAGATAGTTGTATACGATGGATAACTGTGTAGTCCTCTCATTAGATTCAGTTGTGTGGCTATTTGATTATTTCTGATGATTATCTAAATTTAATTGTGTGTTTTTTTTAGAACTCTATTGTTTGACAAAAATAAAATAAAAAATAAAACTAATTTATTTTTAAAGAAAATGATCACTTTTTCCACACCCAAAGTATATGGAATTTTCAGTTTTGATACCGACTTTTCAAATTAATAACTAATAGTACAACATCCTTGTAAATACTGGTGCTTGTTAAAAAAATTAGTCTTAAATTTTAAAATTAATGATTTTTTAATATTTAATTACCTTTTTACAAACAAATATATATATTATTATATATTTTAGAATGACACTTGTTACTTGCGCGACTTATATAGTTATATTATAGTAATTTTCTAACTTATATCATATAACTATTTGAAACATAAATATATTAGTTGATAAATAATTTTATTTTTCTAAGTAATATTAGTAAAAATTTTATTATTGTTATAAAGATAAATATAATTATTAGTTTTATACATACAATATGGATGTTAAATTGAAACTCATCAAGCGGTGATTAATTTGATATATTATATATGTAAAACTGATAAAAAAATATAAAGTGATTAACTTTTAAAATACATTTACAATAATATGTTATCCACATCAAATAATGGTGTCGTGTTCGAAAACAAGGCTTTCCGGAGACGTCGCTTACATTTTCACTTTTGCCCCTATTTACTCTTATTTTCCATAACTTTTTTAAACCTATACAATTTGGCTTCAAAACACGATGGTGCGATCAAGATATGTTATCCACATCAAATAATGGTGCCGTGTTCGAAAACAAGTCTTTCCGGAGACGTCGTTTACGTTTTCACTTTTGCCCCTATTTACCCTTATTTTCCTTGACTTTTTTAAACGTACACGATTTGGCTTCAAAACACGATGGTCCGATAAAAATATGTTATCCACGTCAAATAATGGTGTCGTGTTCGAAAACAAGTCTTTCCGGATACGTCGCTTACGTTTTCACTTTTGCCCTATTTACCCTTATTTTCCTTGACTTTTTTAAAAGTATACAATTTGGTTTCAAAACACGATGGTACGATAAAAATATGCTATCCACATCAAATAATGGTGACATGTTCGAAAACAAGTCTTTCTGGAGACGTCGCTTACGTTTTTACTTTTGTCCCTATTCCCTTATTTTCCTTGACTTTTTTAAACGTATACGATTTGACTTCAAAACACGGATGGTGCGATAAAGATATGTTATCCACATCAAAAAATGGTTCCGTGCTCGAAAACAAGTCTTTTCGGAGACGTCGCTTACGTTTTCACTTTTACACCTATTTACTCTTATTTTCCTTGACTTTTTTTAAACGTAAACGATTTGGCTTCAAAAGACGATGGGGCGATAAAAATATGTTATCCACATCAAATAACGGTGTCATGTTCGAAAATAAGTCTTTCCGGAGACGTCGCTTACGTTTCACTTTTGCCCCTATTTACCCTTATTTTTCGACTTTCTTAAACGTATACAATTTGGCTTCAAAACACGATGGTGCGATAAAATTATGTTATCCACATCAAATAATGGTGCCGTATTCGAAAACAAGTCTTTTCGGATGTTAGTGTTATATACTAAAAGCTTGGCTTTTGATGATATTACACTTTTACCCTTTATGAATGAGAAACATGTTTGATTAAACAAGTTCTACGTTCTGTTGTTTTGCATTAGATAGTGTGGGTCAACATCGGGCGAACCGAAGATCATGCTATCAGTCACTCGCGAAACAAGAATAAGTCGTTCACAACCCAGATGGACATGAACACCCCATCGTGAACGGTTGCAGTGTCAATCGTACATTTTATCTTCACTGATTAGTTGCACTAGTACATTTATGTATTGAACAAGATGCCAAAGAGGAACAGTTCGTTTTATACTGATCGTCGTAAACGAACTAGGCCTCGATTAATTACTGCATACTCTTAACCCGTAAGATATTAAACAAGCATATGTGTGTAGTACTTATTACTTTGATTCACATGGGTGAGGCTTAGTGAACTGGACCAATAGACCCCCTGTCTTGGGTAATTGTAACGCCCAGATTTTAATTTACTATTTATGGAGCTCGACTACATTTCCATAAATATTAAGTTTCTAAATTTGATGTATTTATTATATTTATTTGCATTAAATTAACAATTGATGTATTTGCATTAAATTAAATAATTAATATTAAAATCTAAGCCATGGAGAACTTAATCGATTTCAATTGTTAAAGTCAGATTTATTTAGCCCAAGTATTGGTTATATATTTTTTTTTTTTAAATCGAGCCTTGGATTAATCGAGCTTTTATTTAAGTTAATCGAAGCCAAATAATTTATTTATTCGAGCCCAATCAATTTTGATCAAACCCAATTATTCTAGCCGACCCATTTAAATTAAATCGAGCCCAAGTCCAATTTTATTTTAGTCCATTTTCTAATCGAGCACATAGTCGATTTTAGTTCGAGCCCATTATTATCCTAGTAAAGTTGACCGACTAATTTAATTAGTCGGAGTTCGACTAATATTATTAACCGAGCATTTAATTTCCTAATCTATGCCGTCTCTCCCCTTTTTTCATATACTAGCTGAGACCGGTATCACGCATTCCAGCCTTCCGGCTTCCGATCTCTTTAGCCCGATTGTAGGATTTTTACAAGGCCCGGTTTTAAACCCCAAAATACCTACACAAACCCTAGTCTTATACCTAGCTATAAATACGCATGTTCCTTCTTTCCCAACATCACTAAAAAACCTAGCACACAATTACTATTCATCTCCCGCATTAGTTTTTACTAGTACGAATCTCGTGCGATGCAGGGGTAAGAAATATTTATTAGTATTTTGTAAATAAAAAATATGCATTAAATAATATTTTATAAACTAAGAATATTGAATCAATATGTAATACAATTTACCTATATTAATTTTTAAAAATGTTATACGAAATTTGAATTATACAAAATTACATAAAATATGTATATTTAAAATTAGTACACAATCCATACAATGCACATAACTAATAATAAATTATATTATATTCATTTCAAAATAATGTTATTTTAAAAAAAATATTCAAAATTTTGATTTGACTACAATGTGATTCAATAAAATAAATGTTTAAGTAAAATTTTATCATATATTTAAAAATCTATGTGAATACGTATAATTATAAAACTTATATTTTTTCATTAACTAAAATGAATTTATTTTCGTATGACCTGTCCAAATAAAAAAATTTAAGTAGTTGAATAATTTATTAAACTATAAACAATTGAATAATTCATTTGCATCCAAGATAATATTAGCATTGTTATAAATACATTAATATGGACATTACTAATATATAATTGTGCCTGAAGTCCATTAGATAAAAAAATTAGGTTGTAGGGCTTCCCTCTTGTAAACCCTATAAAAGGGTGATTATACCGATGAATAAGATTACAGACTTTTCTGCTTCTCTTTTCTTATTCTTTACTGCACATCTTTTATGCTTGTTTGATTGATGGATGATTGGTGAATATTGAGGACTCCAATTTACAATACGTTATCAGCACGCTCTAATCTATAATATGTTGGTGTTGGCCTAGGAAAAAATCGCGTTATTCTATCAAGTGTACCACAACCATTCATTAGTTTGCATCTTATGGAGAAAGAAGCATTTTATGTCTGGTCGACAGTGCTACTACGCACACTATTTTGAAAGATAGGGAATTTTTTCAAACTTTCAATGAAAAGAAAGGGAGTGTTTCTACAATTGCTCATGATAAAATCTTGATAGTAGGCTCCGGCAGAGCTTTACTTACTTTTCCTAAGGGTACCGAATTAATAATTAACAATGCCCTTTTGTACCCTGAATCCCAAAGAACACTCCTTAGTTTTAAAGATATTCGATCTAATGGTTTTCAATTGGTGCCACAACATGATGTGCCACATTATGATTGGTGCCACAACATAGTTGTGGCGCCAATCATAATGTGGCACATCATGTTGTGGCACCATAGAATTTCTGAAAATCACTAAAACACACAAAATACAAAACACAAAACACGAAAACAGAAAAAACGTTAAAGGAAAAAGGAAGCAAAACACTCCCCAACAGTTGGGTGGAAAAAAAAAAANAAAAAAAAAAAAAACCCACCAACTCAATTCTCAAATCTCAACCACATTTTTTAAAAATTTATGGATGGAAAAGAACAGATATAAATTATCAGAATACCAATTGTATTGTTGGCCTCTGCATGCAATTTTCACATCAGCATCAATTCATCGCCCCCATAAAGAAGAGGAAAAAAAAGAGAAAAAAGTTTTGAAAGAAAGAAAAAGAAATCCGGCATGCTTCTTGTTGATTTTAAAGAATTTCAAGAAAAGGTTTATACTCAATTCAGACCCTGGCATCGTTCATTCCAATTCTGGACCAGAGCCATTGATATCTACACCGGCTACAAGGTACTTTCACATGTCTGTGTTTTTTTCGGAAATTCCCGGTGTTGTTTGTTTTGTGCATAGAAATGAAATAGCCTTTTTGATTGGGTTAGGTGTTTCAAGTCAGAGTAAATTTTGTGAAAGATGCGGCGACGAGGGAGGCAATGTGGGAGAAACAGCACGAAATTGCGGCTGATAAGATATATGATATGTGTGCTGACCTCGGAGGCTTTTTTCTTAAGGTTGTCTGAAATTTTCATGGTCCTTATTGCCTTCATTATCTGGGTTCGATCTCCTAGTACATTTATTGCTGCTGCTTTTTGGTACTCCGAGTTGAAAGTGATTCTTCGTTTTCTTCTGTTTTTGTTATTTTTTGAATTTTTTTAGTTGAATCTTGGATTTAATTTTGTAGCTTACAATGTTTTCTGCATTGAATCTTGGATTTGTATAGGTTGCACAAATTATTGGGAAGCCGGACTTGGCACCGGCTGCTTGGGTGAGAAGGCTGGTCACACTGTGCGATCAGGCTCCGGGCACCCCATATAATGTGATCAAGAATGTGCTCGAGAAGGAGTTGGGTCAAAGTGTGGAAGAACTATTCGAAAGATTTGACGTGCATCCTCTTGGTTCTGCTTCAATCGCACAGGTATTTCTTATTGTGAGCTTTTGTACAACGATTTGAGGCTTGTATTTTAATGTTGATAGAAATATTCCACTTTTTATTCTAGGTCCTTATCGTAGAGAAATTTTGTTAGTGCTGCCGGCTAAGGATAATCTGTATAAATATTTTTTGGTGCTCCACTGACAGATTAGCAGTTGATTCGTTGAAAATGCATTTACATTTGATGTATGCTTAAGATTTATCCGCTCATGTCTAATCAGGTTCACCGAGCACGGCTTAGAGGTGATAAAAGTGATGTTGTTGTGAAGGTAAGAGACTTACATTGCCAGCTTTTGATTCTGACCTTCACTATTATAGTTTATTTTCTTTTTTCTCTGGAAATTTATCAACTTGCGAATGGAAGATAGTTCTGTTTTTAAAAAAAGAGAATTCCACAATCATGCACCTGGCTTGGATTTGGCCCCAAGTTTCCCTACCCAGTAAAAGCACCCCTAACCAGACTAAAAGCTGAATCCTAATCGTTACATTATTGCAGGTCCAGCATCCTGGTGTGCAAGACTTGATGATGACTGATATCCGCAACTTGCAAGCTTTTGCATTATACATGCAAAAGACAGACATAAAGTTTGATCTATATTCTGTAACCAAGGAAATGGAGAAACAGGTAAATCTCGGTACTGATTCTTATGCTAATCTTCCAGTTGGGGGCAATTAAAGCTATATGCACAGATGCTCTTTTGTAGTAATTGTAGATGGCTCCAGTTCATAGATAAACTAACATTTTTTAGTCATCTTATCTTTTCATTTCCATTATGGTAATTATTCGTTGTCCCCATTTCTCATGGCTACCAAATTTTCTTTATCTTCATAAAATGGTAACTTGAGTAGGCAAATGCTATCTAGTAATGTCTTGCTTAGTGAGTTCAGTTTTCTTCAAGTTGAAGCTCATATGCGATTTTTACTGTTATATATTTTCCGTGATATTTGATGCTTTATAAGACTGCCTTGTTTCTTTAGGTCTGTTGTGAGACTTAGTGAACATTTAGTCTCATTTCTTTTCTATATTTTTGTTTATTACTTATCTGTTTTCTTTTTTAATGTGGTTCATTGCTACATCTACAAGCAAAATTTTATTTCGTTAATATGTATATGAAGTGTTGTTGTGTTTTTGATGAAAAGAGTACTGTTTATTTTACTTTTTATAGCTTAGAAGTTTTGGCATTGCATTGTTGAGTGAAATTTATTTTATTTCCTTTCTTACAAGATTGGATATGAGTTCAATTTTGTGAGGGAGGCCGATGCTATGGAGAAAATTCGGCGATTCCTGTATGAAAATAACAAAAAGGCTCCAGTTTTGGTGCCACGAGTGATCAGAAATATGTTCACAAGGTATGAAAATAGTTCAACTCTTTGGTAGTTTTGTTGCTAAAGTGGCGTTATCATCTTAATCTTTCCGAAAATTTTAAATGCATGTCCAGATAGTGGACCCTGAAAAGATCATATGTTGGGAATTTTTTCGTATGTTTGTGACATTTCATTTGCAATGGCAGGAGGGTTCTAGTGATGGAGTATATTGATGGTGTTCCTATCCTGCAGCTTGGGGATGAGATGGCTAAAAGAGGCATAAATCCTGGTGGTAAGGTTGCCGCAGCTGCAAAGCAGTAAGCTTCTAGATAATCCCAGAGAGTATGAATCATCTTTCCCCTTGATCATTTGTGCTTACAGCACACTGCACCTTTAATCAATAATTATTTTGTGCTTTAATTTATAGGATTTATCATTATTGCCCCGTGCCGCACGGGCTACTTACTAGTTGATAAGTAAATGGTATGTCTGTTTAACCAGTGAAGCAATATATTACAAGAATACTGAAATGTCACATTATTTGGTAGTCTGGCTGTTAATTTGGTTAGCCTGTTTTATTTCAATTATTTGTAATGTTGTTTCCTCACAAGATCATACTTTCGAATTCAAATGTGCCCCGCATTTATTTTTCATGTGCTCTAACTCAGAAACTTGTTGTATCTTAATACCTTCAAGTCTGATTTTTATTCGGTGACAAATTTGAATGACAGTGGAACTCTTATCATCTTATCGTCTTCTTTATCTACAGGAACATACTTAAAAGTTTGACACTTGCTTATGGGCAGATGATACTAAGGAGTGGTTTCTTTCACGCTGATCCTCATCCAGGAAACATTTTGATTTGTAGAGGTTCTGAGGTAAATTTAGATCCATTATATTCTAGAGTAACTAATGTCTTCACTGATTTCCTTGATTAATCTCCTTTTCACCTATTAGGTTGCCTTGCTTGATTATGGGCAAGTGAAGTATCTTCCTGAGACACTGAGGCTAGGATATGCTAATCTTGTGATTGCTATAGCAGATAATGACCCTATAAAGGCATCTGAGAGCTACAGGTGCTACAGCTTACGATCTATTTAGGCCCTGTACTTTGAGTTAAGTTTAGGTTTACTAGTATATCGGCCAAATTCGATGGGTGCACCGAACTCATGAAATCCAACTGTAACAAACATGGTGGTCTACTAATAATTTCCGCATTGCTTGTTTGTTTTATGCCTGCCCATTGGATGTGATTTAATAATCTTCTAAGGCCCTGAAAATGTTTTAGTTAACTAACTGTGCACTGTGTCCCAATATATTCATATGAAATGATAATATTTATCCTCATTAAAAATCACTTCGGCTTTGTCGAAAGGATGTCTTATAATTATACCCGAAATTAAACGCAATTTCAAAGTATGGTCTCAATCATCAATAATTCGTTTATCTAAAAACTGAAAAGATACTGCAAAGATAGTTGAATGGCAGTGGTCAAAAAGTCCCCGCAAGCACATGATATTATTTTCGCTAGACAAATCATCCAACATATCCTCAAAACAAGGTTGATAATTCATAATTGGATAGAATCCTGAGAGAAACCTCTCACCAAGTTTTCAAATTTTGAATGTTCTTGCATATAAAAAAAGAGTAAATTAGTGATAGCAGAATCTCTTTGTTTAGTTGTTCAGACTTTGAATTTCATGGTGTTTGAAGTTACAGGAGACATTTGGGTGTCACACTACATAGTATTATTCTTCATATGCTTGTTCTATGGTGTGTATAATCATCTAAACCTCCAATGAAATAAATTGCTGTATTTACATCAACAGTGATACACAAAGAAGATTATTGGATTTAATGGCTAGACTATCAGTATCTTTTCGCATGTCTAATATGACTATTCTGGTGTTAGGGAGCTCGGCATAGACACTTTCAGCAAATGTGAGAATGAGAAGAAAGAGTTGCTTAGATTAGCCCAAACAATGTTTGATACGAAGCTACCACCTGGCGTAACAATGTTGCAACCCTTTTCCGATGAATCTTCAATTAAAAAGATTGCTGTTCAGGTTCACAATAGATTCATTCGATTCACTTTGTCCCAGTCCATTCTCTCTTTATTTCTGTGGTTGTAAATGAAAAGATTTTGTAACAATACTCTGCGTTTGCTTTTTGGAATAAGTCAAATCTACTTGTATCTTTTTCCATTTTGGCTTGGTACAGTTTATTATTCTTCATATGTGAACTTGTTAGCATTATAAGTAGTTCTGAGTGCGGACCTGAAATGTATTACCGATCATGTGAGTTTGTTGTTAGCTTGTAGTCATGGTAGATAACTTTTTTATCTCCTTTTTGATCATATAATCCAAGTTTCATTAGCTTGCCACTTGAGTGTAAGCATAATGGTTTGTTTATTTGATTGAATTCTAAGTTTTTTCCCGTGATGTGGGTGAATGATAGGCTTTCCCAGAAGAATTGTTCTCTGTTCTACGTACGGTGCATTTGCTTAGAGGGCTTAGTGTGGGGCTTGGAATCAATTACTCATGTGCCGAGCAGTGGAGGCCCATGGCTGAAGAAGCTCTATATCTTGCCGGGAGGCTAACAGGTTACTCTTTCTCCCTAAACTACATCCTAAAATTTAAATAAATTGGGAATAACACAAAAAATAGAAGACTGAAAGAAACTAGAAAAACGAAAACATAAAAAACAAAGGACCTAGAAAAGCCGAAACATGAATCCGTAAAAGAAACTAAAAACCCTTAAGACCTCTAAGAGTTAGAAAAACCTAGAAAAAACTACAAGAGCTAAAAACGTCAAAAAGTGAGGTCCAAAAACTGAAAAGGAAAACTGAACTTTCTGCCCCCTTTCGTCAGAATACTTCTTTAGGTGGTGTGACATAACTCTCTCTCTCTCTCTCTCTACCTGGCCCACTCCTCTCAAATCTAAGATAGATATCAGTATGTTGCAGGTTCATACCTCTGTTTGTCAATTTCGAAATATTTGTGTCACCTTTTCTGTGCATTTTAGTGTCTTGAGTTGCCATTTTGATTCTACTTGATCCCTCCTCTTCGACTCATTACTTGACAAAGTTGGGGTGCCATCTGTTTTGTCTATTACTGTTCAATGAGCATATGTAATTGTAATTGAAGTGTAACTTGAATTGCCACAACGCGCATAGAACAATTTTAGTTAACTCGGGTGCGTATTGTAAGTCGACTGTTTTACTTATTTTTTTCAAAACACAACAGATAAAGATCTCAAAAAAGCACATAGACGTGGTATTATCAGGAGATTATTCGGGAGGTAGCAAATAACTGGTGATGAGTCGAGCACGAGCTAATAAGCTGTCTTCAACTTAGGTGGCCATACTCAAAGCTCGTTTGTGTTTTCTGCATATTTATATATTTGCAGCTCTGTACTATCAGTATACCCGATTTATCTGCGACATAAGGTATTATTATATTGAAAATTCGTTCTGAGCAAGAGTAGTAGGATTCTGCTGGAAATTTTTATGATCATTCAATATTCTCATTTGGAAGATGAATTTTGCTTGCATTTATTCTGAGTCATTATGAAAATGTCTACCTTTGAGGTATACTATTTTTGTTATCAGGAATGTGTTATAAATCTAGTCAAGTTATTCGTTGTTAT